TGGATGTCGTTGATAACGGGATCACATCATTAGGAGAATGATGTGATGGACAAGACCCAATCCTAAGCCTAGCACAAAGATCGTGTAGTTCGTATGCTAAAGCTTTTCTAATGTCAAGTATCTTTTCCTTAGACCATGAGATTGTGCAACTCCCGGATACCGTAGGAATGCTTTGGGTGTACCAAACGTCACAACGTAACTGGGTGGCTATAAAGGTGCATTACAGGTATCTCCGAAAGTGTCTGTTGGGTTGGCACGAATCGAGACTGGGATTTGTCACTCCGTGTAAACGGAGAGGTATCTCTGGGCCCACTCGGTAGGACATCATCAGAATGTGCACAATGTGACCAAGGGGTTGATCACGGGATGATGTGTTACGGAACGAGTAAAGAGACTTGCCGGTAATGAGATTGAACAAGGTATCGGTATACCGACGATCGAATCTCGGGCAAGTAAAATACCGCTAGACAAAGGGAATTGTATACGGGATCGATTGAGTCCTTGACATCGTGGTTCATCCCATGAGATCATCGTGGAACATGTGGGAGCCAACATGGGTATCCAGATCCCGCTGTTGGTTATTGACCGGAGAACGTCTCGGTCATGTCTGCATGTCTCCCGAACCCGTAGGGTCTACACACTTAAGGTTCGGTGACGCTAGGGGTATAAAGGAAGCTTGTATGTGGTCACCGAATGTTATTCGGAGTCCCGGATGAGATCCCGGACGTCACGAGGAGTTCCGGAATGGTCCGGAGGTAAAGATTTATATATGGAAAGTTGTTGTTCGGGTTCCGGAAAAAGTTCGGGTTTTTTCGGTATTGTACCGGGAAGCTTCCAGAAGGTTCCGGAGGATTCCGGAGGAGTCCGGAGGTCCGAAAATTGTTCCACCATGTCCAATACAGTAGCATGGGCTGTAGGGGGGCGCCCTAGCCTTAATGGGCCAGGGGAACCAGCCCCCCCAAGGCCCATGCGCATGGGAAGGGTAAAACCCTAGAGGGGAGGCCTCCACTTGACTTGGGTGGCACTCCTCCCCCCTTGGCCGCACCCCTTGGGGTGGGAAACCCTAAAGGGGGTGCAGCCCCCTTCCCCCCTATATATAGTTGAGGTTTGGGGCTGCCATACACACGAGAACCTCTCCCTCTTGGTGCAGCCCTACCTCTCTCCCTACTCCTCTCCCGCGGTGCTTGGCGAAGCCCTGCAGGATTGCCACGCTCCTCCATCACCACCACGCCGTTGTGCTGCTGCTGGATGGAGTCTTGCTCAACCTCTCCCTCTCTCCTTGCTGGATCAAGGCGTGGGAGACGTCACCGGGCTGTACGTGTGTTGAACGCGGAGGTGCCGTCCGTTCGGCACTAGGATCTCCGGTGATTTGGATCACGACGAGTACGACTCCTTCAACCCCGTTCTCATGAACGCTTCCGCTTAGTGATCTACAAGGGTATGTAGATGCAACTCTCCTTCCATTGTTGCTGGTCTCTCCATAGATAGATCTTGGTGACACGTAGGAAAATTTTGAATTTCTGCTACGTTCCCCAACACTGCGCCGATAGACGCCGCAATTGTCGTCGAGTTCTTCTTTGCTGGCCCCTCCGACTTCTCCGACATGGCGTACAGCTCGTGCAGGTCCCTCTTCTACGCATGCCCGGTGCTGGCAACACCGATGCGTGCCTTCATCCACAACGTGTCCCCGGGCCTGGCAAGCCTGGTCGGCGCTTCGTCAACTTCGTCTTCGTCCGTCTACGCATGCCCGGTGCTGGCAACACCGGTGCGTGCCTTCGTCCACGATGTGTCCCCGGGCTTGGCAAACCCGTCGCGACGCGTCGTCAACAACATCTTCTTCCCGGCGCACCACTACTTCGACACCCTTGCGCCCATGCTAACTCGGCTCCCCCTTGCGCCCGCGGCTCCATGGCGACCTCCTCGACACCGGCCACCTTGACTCGACATCGACCACGGCATTCTTCGCACGGCTACCTCAACCACGGCTACACCATCCTACGCTCTCGGCTACATCGACATCGGCACAAAGGGCTATCATCCGCTTGAGCAACTCGTCGGCTTCCTCTACAGTCAATGCGTCCGCGACGCGACACCGTCCATGATGCTCCCGCTAGGACTGTGGGGGGATGTCAGTCCGTCGGCTGCTATTCTCTCCAGTCTGACCGTCCGCGACGCTCATGTTGTTCGCAACGCTACCGCTACGACTGGCGGGGGATGTTAGAGATATATTTGGGTTATATGTATTTGGTAGTTTAGGATTCCTACCTTATCTCTAGGAGAGGCGTCTTGCCCTCCAAGTCTTGTACTCAATATATACTCGCCCTCGAGGCTCGATAATACATCCATCATATTCCGCAACAATCCCTCTCTCTCCCTTCTAACAAAAATGAACAAGTTTTCTCGCTGGCAACATAGCCAGCGGCCGGCACACTTGCCAGCCTTAAAAAGAATGGCCATAGTCCACGGCCAAGGCCTCCCTAGTTCAAGCTCATGATTGCTAGCGCCACCTCTTTTGCTTTGGTGTCGGCATTGGTGGCCTCGATCGCGAACTTAATCGATTGGGCGGCCTCCTTCATGTTGAGCTTCCTCCTCTTGACGGCCTCCTCCATGTCAACCTTCTTCGTTTGGAGCTCCAAGTATATCTTCATTTGCTTCTCCTTTCCTTGGCGCTTCCTCTCCTCCCTCACTTCCTTCTGAGTCGTCATGCTGTGCAAAGTTTCTTGCAAGATGATAGATGCCACATCACGCTTCTCGTCAAGCTTCGACGCCCCTAGGCCTCTTGAGCACATCTCCATTCGCAGCCACGGCCGCCGTCCCTCCTTTCTTCTGTAGAGCGACATATTGATCTTTGAACTTGGGACAACCTTTGATGACCGATCAATAATGAGCGAGAGTGAATGGCTTGTTCTTATGCCGGGCCTTGAAAGCTTCCAAAGATTGGAATGCCTACACAATCAAAAAGAAGGCCACAAATGTAATAGCGAAGGACACAAGATACAACAAACAGGAACATGACATAGCAATGCAAATAGGAAAGGTCATACCAAGTCACACACGCCTAGGCCACTCACAGGACGGGCTTCAATGCTCTCAAGCGCGGCACAATACTTATTGCATTCTTGTTGAATGAACCCCCATCTCTTTTGGATTGAGTTGATGCCACGGTTGCTCACAAGCTTGTAGGGTGCAAACTTCCTGCGTTCATGAAAGGTTTTATGAACTCTCGTCCAAAAGACGGATCCTTTTTGCTCGGCACCGGTCTTGGGATCTTGGCCTATCTCCATCCAACTCTCGCAAATCAACGTGCCCTCTTCTTTGTTGTATGATCCCGTGCGAATGCTTTACTTCCTCCTTTGTGCCTCGGCTCTTTGGATCAGCTCATCGATAAATAATGGTTCCTCCGCAATGTTGACCTCTTCTTCCTCATCTTCGCAATACATGTCGTCATCTTCATGCCATGAGTTGCCATGGTCGTCGGCCTCTTCTTCTTCGTGGACACCATAGTGGTCCGTACCATCTTGGCCGCGACCGTCTTGGCTTTGGGTCTCGTCGGGATTGAAGCCTTGGCCTTGGCCATCGGGGTGGAAGGCCTGGCCATGGCCCTCGAAGATGACGCTCTCCATAAATGCGGTGTATTCAGGGTCGTCGGCCGTCGGTGTCGGGATTGGCATTTTCTCAAACAGGTTGCGGGCGCCGGGAAGGTTAGCCGTAGGATCGACCGGGGCTGCTTCCTTTGCATCCTATCGGACGACTGGCCAGCGCCACTGAACCCAGGCATGACGTTGAGGTCGATGACAGCCGGGTTGGGGGGAGTGGCCGGCGCGATCACGCTGCCATCCGGCGGCGCATGAAAACTGGCCGTCTCCGGTGTTATGGAGGAGCTCGGCGACTGGAACTGCAGAGGACGGCCGGCCGACGAGCCTGTGCTCGTCGCGGCCATGGCGGATGCGGAGAGAATGGCCGGCCCGGTTCAGCACAACCCTAGCATGACGAGGGCCTGCGTCGTCCCTGCTTGCGTGGCCTTGGCGAGGATGACCTCGTTCTGGTCAACGGCAGCCTTGTGCTGCGCGGTCGCGGCCTCGGCGGCGTAGTCGGCAGAGGCTTTCTTCTCCGCCGCAACGGTCAGTCGGGCCCTCCTCTTGGCCGATTCATTGTCGAGCCGCGCGGACCATTTGAGGTCATGCCGTTGGAGTTGTCCTTGATTACATCAGAATCAGATCCTACCATGTGTAGTATCTAGAAGATTTCATGATTAAACTTAGCACACCTCTTCTAATGGAGAATATAATTACTATGTTTTTTTTTGAAATAGATTTACATTACATTCACACACTTCTACTCTATTCTAGACTCTTCCATACATGCTCTTGCTCCAGTTATGTTTCTCTCTTGAAGAAAGAGTAGCAATTTATGTTTACCTTGTGAGTTTAGATATTTTTTTCAAGAGGCAGCTAGAAGTTCAGATGTTTTATTGTGTTTTTTACCAGTAGTTCTGCGTAAGCAAGCGTCGTGGCCTAAACATTACCCTATAAATGCCAAGTGTTCCTTTAGCACATCAGAGCATAACCTATCTATTCTTCTCACGATAATATGCTAATTTCCCACCCACTTTGATCAGTACCAGCCTTCTAAAGAGCTAAATACGGCACACACACACACACACACACACACACACACACACACACTGGCCAAAGAAACCCAGTGATTTTGTAGTCCAACATCCATATCATTTATGTACATTTTCAGCGAATATTTGGTCTGTATATAGAATAATAACTGCGTGCATTTTCAGTATTTAGCCTGGAATTTGTCTTTCAGCAGTTTGTGGCTGCAATACTTATACACTTCACAAGATTTATGTCGACACAAAATGGATAAGGTAAACTAGCATGTGAAAGAGTGAAAATGAAAATCACCTAGTACATCATTTGCACCTGGAAATTCTATAGATTATACTCCATCAACCGGAATATTGTTATTCCTCTACGTCTTCAGTTAGCCTAGGATTCTAGAAGTGACGTTTCTTCAGAGACAACATGCCGCGGGCTTCTTTCCCTGGATCTATGTTCAAACCGGAGAAGAGCGTACAGCACATCCTTCATTGATGGCCGCACTGAAGGCTGCCCACCTGTGCAGATCACACCTAGCGTAAACACTGCGAATGCATCTTCAATGTTGGCTGGATCTCGAATGTCTTCATCAAGAAGATCAATTGACAGGCCATACTCTTGATACTGTCTCCATGCCCATTCTGCCAAGCAGTACTCCAAGCCTCCATCATTTGCCACCCTCCCCGTTGTGAGCTCCAACAGGACCACTCCGAAGCTGTAGACATCGACCTTCTCATTCACCTTAAGCCGGTATCCATACTCTGCAAAAAAGCTAGTCTCCGATTAGCACATGGCACATCCTAAATATATACTAGTTTGAGTTTGCATTTCTATTTCTTACCTGGTGCCATGTAGCAAAAGGTACCACCTATGCCAGAAATTGACTCAGGATCTCCGGTTTTGAGAAGAATCCGAGCAAGCCCGAAGTCAGCTATCTTTGCTCTGAACTCGGGGTCCAGAAGGATATTGGCAGACTTGACATCACAGTACACTATGGCGGGTGAACTATCATGGTGCATATAGCAGAGACCTCTTGCCGAGTCGATGGCAATTTGCAATCTGGTGGGCTAATCCAAAGGTGCCAGTGAACCAACTCTATCCCTCTGATGCAGCCACCTGTCTAAGCTACCATTTTCCATGTACTCATAGACAAGAAGCTTTGCCTCTGAGCTTGAGATGCAGCAGAGCAGCTTGACAATGTTTGTGTGCCGGATCTCACCCAATATCTGGACCTCTGCAAGGAAGTCCTTCTCGAGCTTGTTGTCAAGGTTCTGGGCGTTCCATATCTTTTTTAACAGCCACCATTCTACTACCACCTTCTCCATCCACAACACAAATTCGGTACACCTTGCCAGACCTGCCACTTCCAATCCAGTTCTGCTCACAGAGCCCAGAAAGAACATGATACTCTGTGAAATGCAGTGCATGGAACTGGGTCAGCTTCCATGATAGAGGATCTTGGGTATTCTTTTGCCTCTTTAATAGCAAGAAACCACCAACTGCCGAACCCACAAGCATGATACTGGCAAGAACAAAAAAGAGGGCTATAAGCCTCCTGGAGATATCATTGTTGTTGTTTGCTCTTGCGCTGCAAATCGGGAAATTAGGGATGGAATTATTCGATGAGACACAGAGGCCTGGATTGAAGAGGAAGCTTCGCTCATATGCTTCGTTTTGCAATGATGTTGGAATTTCCCCCGTGAGTTGATTCATGGAGAGGTTTAGAAAGTTCAGTTTTAACTTATTGATCGCTTTTGGGATCTCGCCAGATAGCGCATTCGAGGAGAGGTCAAGGATGGTTAGCCCTGATATAAATCCAAATGCTGCAGGTATAGTACCAGATATCTGGTTTCCACTTAGATTAAGTGAGTTGAGCTTTAGCACTCCAATTGTCATGGGTATTGATCCAGTAATTTGATTTCCAGAAAGGTCAACATCTGTTACCTGTGAACAACAACAACAACAATAACAAAGCCTTTAGTCCCAAGCAAGTTGGGGTAGGCTAGAGGTGAAACCCATAAGATCTCGCAACCAACTCATGGCTCTGGCACATGGATAGCAAGCTTCCATGCACCCCTGTCCATAGCTAGCTCTTTGGTGATACCCCAATCCTTCAGGTCTCTCTTAACGGACTCCTCCCATGTCAAATTCGGTCTACCCCGCCCTCTCTTGACATTCTCCGCATGCTTTAGCCATCCGCTATGCACTGGAGCTTCTGGAGGCCTGCGCTGGATATGCCGAAACCATCTCAGACGATGTTGGACAAGCTTCTCTTCAATTGGTGCTACCCCAACTCTATCTGTTACCTGTGAAATACCCAATAAATCCCAGGGAATTTCACCAGAAAGAGAGTTGTTTGCCGCACTGAATAGTTTCATTTTGCCTGCTAAAGTTGGAATGGGACCAGAGAATCTATTGTTGCTTATGTCAAGACGCGTGAAGTTCCATGGTAGCTGGGTAGGAAATGTGCCAGAGAAATTGTTGTTTTGGATCATAACCACTGTTAGCTCATTTGTCACCACTGACCAGAGGCTCTTGGGGAACTCTCCAGTAAAATGATTGTTGTACAGCATTAAATTGTTCAACCGATAGCAGCCATCTAGCGATTGTGGAAGCTTTCCAGAAAAGTTATTATTAAACACAACGATGTCATATAACTTCCTGTTGGAGCAAAGATCAGCTGGCAGCTCGCCCGAGAGATTATTGTTGCAGACCTCAAGATTGCCTAGTGGTGAGTGCTTACCAAGCTCTGGTGGAAGGGAACCAGATAACATGTTCTCAAATAGCCGGATGTCTCTGAGATTCGGCAGCAAGCCAATGCTCGGCGGTATTGACCCATGAAGTTGATTCGTGTAGAGAAACAACACCGTAAGGTTGATGAGCCTACCAAAGTCATCTGGTATTGTCCCTGTTAGTTTGTTTGAGGACACATCAAGCTCCACCAAGTTTACGGCAGTGACACTGGATGAAATCTTGCCTGTGAAACCGTTGATATACATGTACAGGCACCGAAGCTTCTTATGCTGCCATACCCATGTCGGAATTGTGCCTTGCAGCATATTATTTGACACACTCAAGAGGCTGAGCTCTGTGAGGCTTGACAGGCTCTCAGGGATCTCACCTGTCATGTTCATACCTGACAGCCACAAGTATGTTAGGCGTGTCAACTTGCCAAACTCAACTGGAAATGGAGCTGGCAGAAATGGGTTTTCCGCTAGTGTCAGCACCACGAGGTTTGTCAGATTGCTGATGTCCTTTGCTGGGTAACTTCCGTTGAACTGATTGTTGTCGAGGAGCAGTGACTTGAGCTTCGGAAACCATCCAATGGATGGTGGAATTTTGCCCATGATATGGTTGGTTGATAAGTTGAGATGCTCTAGCTTTGCTGATAAACTGTGTATGTCAGCTGCGAGTTTCCCACCAAAGGCATTGTTGGAAAGGTCTAGATACTTCAGATTGGAGCAATTGTAGAGTATGGTAGGGAATGAAGTAGAGAAGTTATTGGAGGAGAGGTCCAAGTAGGTAAGATTCTTGAGGAGGCAAAGGGATGGTGGGATTGGTTTCCTAAAGGTTTGCTGTGGAAGGGAAATGGCAGTGACCTCACCTTTTGTGCATGTAATTCCTCCCCAGCTGCAGTGGTCAGAGGAAGTAAGGTTCCATCTGCCAAGCACAGGTGAGCTCCCCCAGTATCTCTTGAGCCCCAGAAGGATTTGGTGTTCATCACTATATTGATATGTGGACTCTGGGTAAGATTTGGGTAGTAGTGAAATCAGTGCTGTGAGGAACAGCAAGAAGCTAACACAGTAATTGTTAGCCATGTCTGCTAAAACTTTTGGATTGAAAATCTCTTGCAAGCTTTGGGTGGAGAGGGGCAATGCATGGTGGACTCGCCTTTTGCAGTCTTCTCTTGACGTCTCCTGCTTACTGGTCAAGATGTCCTCCTCCACAAAAAACTAAAAAAGAGCTACCCATTATTTATCAACACTGGAACTATGTAATCGTCCTCCACATGTAATATCTCTCCCCGCCCTCCCTGTTATTAAGATATTATATGAAAGTCGAATTTATTCCACTCTCATTTGAGAGTGCGATACAAGGAGGTATTTTGTGTTTGGGAAAGTCCGAAGAAAAAATTATTTTGAATCTGCCTTTTCCTTCTTTCCCTTAAAAAAATAACTCAAGAAAAATCCAATTATTTACTCTACAAGAATTTTTTTATTTTGCTTTGCTTGGGAAAAATATCCAAGACAGTTAATCAGATATCTTGATGAATTTAGTTTCCTTTTCGACAACTTTCATTTGATTTATTTTATTTCTTATAAGCATTATGGTGATGGATAAGTCTGAGGCGTTTGGTTTGAGGAATTGGTCAGTGAATGGACGTAACCCACTTTGAGGAATTGAATGGGTTGCTCCATATCACCATCTCATCTTTCATAAAAGAATAAGTCTAATACTAAACAAGGGATTGGGTCATACAATGATGGACCAGCCCATCCTGTGATGAGCTAATTCGTCAAACAATCACACAATCAATACCCTCTGTGACCTGGCATTATAAGATACTCCCTCCGTTCACAATATAAGATGTTTTGAATATTTCAATATAGACTACATACAGACTGAAATGGGTGAATAAACACACTAAGACATGTCTATATACATCCGATTCACACAAAAGGTTAGAGCATCTTATGTTTGTGAACAGAGGGAGTATTTACTTGTCACGCTAGTGCATTTCGTTTTGTCTCCTAACAAAACAGTGTCTGGTATTTGAGTAACTGAGACCTCCGCTTCTTATAAGCCAGTGTAAGATAACACTAGACTTCTGGATCACCCCTACGGTGTCATTGCCTTGATATGGACATCAGAAGGTCATGTTGACGTTGACGCACTCTTCCTTAACCTGCGCAAAGAGCTCCGAGTTCAGATACCTCTCTGCACCACTGGAAAACATTGTCACAATCATCTTTCCCCTGTTCTCCTCTCTTGATGCAACCTGTCAGGAAGGGCATGAATCAGAGGACTGGATAAATAAGTGGATTTATATAGCCTTCACTGTACTATCTGCTAAAAAATAAAATCCTAGACTCTTGGGAAAAAAAGAGCTTGCCTTTAAGCAGGCAGCTGCATTTGCCCCTGAAGATATGCCAACAAGCAATCCTTCTTCCCTTGCCAATCTTCTAGCCATGTCCATAGCTTCTTGAGTAGTTACTGTTACAATTTCATCTATCTGGGATCTATCCAATATTTCTGGGACAAAACCAGGCCCTATTCCTAGGATGTTGTGGAAGGCTGGCTCGCCACCTACAGATCATAGGCAGGGAAGATCTTACTTATTTACAAGCAAAGAAAGGTAGCCAGGTTTATAACCAAACATGTATAGTAGGAATATCATTTATTCAATATATTTATCATAGTAGTAGTTTCTTGCCTGAAATCACTGGACTTTCAGCTGGTTCAACGCATATTAATTTTACAGATGGGTTCTTCGTCTTGAGATACCTCCCCACGCCTGTGATGGTGCCTCCTGAACCTGAAGCAGCTATAAATATGTCCACTTTGCCTGCTGTATCTTTCCATATCTCAGGTCCTAAGGACATTTAGTTCGATGCATTAGTGCTGAGGTTCAGTTTTTAGCCAGGAATCTTAAATAAAAATAAAGAGTAGAAATGTTGCATGGAAGTGTGATCCTGCAGAGGCCAACACCACATAGCAACATTTATTGCATATCATCCATCAATTTATTTCAACATCTTATAAGTTAGTCAGTCCGTAGTCTTCGACTGAGTTTTCCTTATAGTCAAACAATCTAAAGTTACTCAAACGCTACTGCTACTGCATCCAATTTAGTTCAAATATATTGTGTTACCACTTACCAGTCCATCTGAAGTGGGCATCGGGATTTGCAGGATTGGTGAATTGATCTAGAACATACACATCTTCCACATCCTTCTTCATCTGTTCTACCCTATCAAGTAAAGCTTTGAATCCATGCTGTACAGCATCTGCAGGAGACAAGCATGTTACCATCTGGCACGTGATATGAGGGGCATGGTACCTCAGCTCCTTACCAACTAATACCACTTCTACGCCAAGGTATCGCATCAGTATCTGCTTATCAAGCGAGAGTTTAGCAGGCATGAGGGCGATGAACTTGTATCCTTTCTGAGCAGCAATGAACGCCACGCCGATGCCAAGATTACCACTTGTGACCCCCAGCAGTGTTGTGATGCCAGGTGTGATCAAGCCTTTCTCCTCTGCATCTTCAATCAATCTGCAAATTTGTTCATCCATTCATATTGCTGTCGAGACTCATGACGTTACGTATGGTAGATTTGAGGTGAAGAATTTCTTCCTGGGAAGGAAAGTAAAAAAGAGCAGCCACCTGAGAGCACTCCGATCCTTCACAGAGGAAAGGGGCTGGTACGGCTCAATCTTCCCAATCAGCCGAGCACCTATGCTGTCTTTCTCAGTGATGTTTCTCAGTTCTATCAGTGGTGTCCAACCAATGAGCTGGAAGGCATAGAATTTACTTGCAGATTAAAGATAACAAGCTTTGTACAGTGAAGGAATAATGACTATATACAGAGAAAGTAGGCACCTGTGTGATGTTGGTGGCAATGCACTCCCCCTGCGAGGACAGCAGAGATGGTATCCCTTTCCTTCCTTCCTGTGGCTCCATTTCTCTGGTACTAACTCTGCAACAAATAAAACTACTAGAACTTAACAAGCTCGAATGTCTTGGACAAATGGATGAACAGAAGTATGAGGTACTCCAGCGTTCAATGATGTTATATAGCTGAGAAGTCCCATTCTGATGGTATACTACATGGATAAATTAATACTAAATTTGGAGGTTTCAGGGAAGTTTCCCTGAAACTTCCATCCAGATTTTTTTTAATTGAAGTCTGTTGACATATGACACTACATCAGTGTGCAGCATACCAATCAGATATCAAATTCAGAAACCACCGATTGGTTGGAAGCCTAGAACTTGGAACACAAGTTTCCCTGCATGCCAAGAAACCTCCTATGGGTTGGAAGCCTGGAACTTGGACCCCAAGTTTCCCTGCTTATAGAACAAGACAATCAACCATTATGCAGAGGGTAAGCAAATAATTTTAGAACACCGATAACGCCCACACGTGTGAGCGTTAAGGGATCTGGCCACACGTTTTTTATGGTGTCTAAGAGAATCAGCCCACACGTCTACGTGTGGGCAAAACAAGTAATGCCCACACGCCTCTTTTTTTGTCTCGCGGTCCCTCCCACACGCTTCCGTGTGGGCAAAATCGAAAAGGCCCACACGCCCGTACTCATGGTCCCGCATGCTTCACGTAACAGTCATCATGCGTCCTCGCAGTTGCCATGGTCCGGACCCTCTTCCATGTTCGTTTAACTGCAGTTGTCATGTTGCTGAGCTATAGTTGCCATGTCTGACAACTACAGTTGTCATGGTTGCTCAACTGCAGTTGCCATCTCAGGTCAAGTGCCGGATGCCATTTTTGGACAATTGCAGTTGTTGCCATGTATTGTCTGGTCTACTACAGTTGCTATGATTTGAAAAACTTTAGGGGTTGCCACCTACTAGCACTAGGCAGTTGCCATGTAGTACTATAAAAAAGGCATGTAAAAAAACATGTTCGGGTAAAGAGGGAGTTGCCATCTGCTTACAAGCAACTAGGGCAGTTGCCATGTACCCTGCAGAACACATGGCAACTCGAAGTAAAAAGTGAGAGTTGTCATCTGCTTACAAGCACGCTAGGACAGTTGCCATACACGCTGCAACACACATGGCAACTGACAGCTTTGGGTGTGGGAGAAGAGACGGGCGTGTGGGCGAACTGATAAACGCCCACACACCAGCCCTTTTGCATGCGTGAAAACTGGCTTGTGGGCGAACTGCTAAACGCCCACACCTCAGCCGCTCCGCATGGTGAAACGGGCATGTGGGTGACCGGATGAATGCCCACACACCAGCCCAGTCCTACCTGGCATAAAAAACCTGCTAGAACGCACCAGGATTCGTGCAGAAATGGTTGGACGAGGATCCATGCATGTAGGCGAGTTGCCAGAGGGCGTTAGTATTTCCGTAATTTTAATCTGAGCTGAACCATCGACCATCCTGCTGTATATATATGTTATTAAATACTCAAGGCAGTGATGGATTATTTCGCAATTTAGCAGGTCACAAAGTGCCAAATGTAGCCGTTGTTAGACTCTTGGTCTGTGACTTCGCTGCAAGTTGAGACGACTGGTTACGTATTCATGAACTGAAGATGCTGGGGTAATCAACACAGATTTGGCAAGCTTCCCTGCTCTCTTAAAAGATAATTAGTTAAGGTGTGTGCTATAAAACAACTCGCAGTTGTTTTGTTCATGGCCTTGCTATCAAACCTCCACTGTTTTAGTCAGTGTCTTTAAGAAACGTTTGTTTCTCACGTTCATGGTGTATCGTAGGAAATAAAACATTCATCAGAGCTTTTCTGTCTTTCATCTACATTGTTGTGCTTACAAGGAGGCTGATGCCTGGATTCTACATACGTACTGCACATAAAGTTATAATTTCTAGTAAATATAAAAAATCAAAGATAACCAACCATTGTAGTCAATTAAATCATTTGAATCTGTTTACCAAAGTATCATAAAAGTGACAATTGCATCGTGAGATCGTAGCCTAAAAAAAGCATTGTGAGATCTTAAGCATTTTTTTACCGAGTGGGCGACTACTCCTGTGTCACTTAATGCCTGTGGCACCCAAGCTCGATGATGTGCCTTGACCTCGCGCCAACATAGATCAAGTAATTTGGTGGGCTCACCAAGCCACCCGCCAGCTAGTTGGGAGCACCAACCGGTCTAGCAGACCCACAACGCGCACCACATGTGCACGTTCTATACTCTGTCGCCGTCATCTTCCGCCGTTACATCTTCAGGAGTGACCCATGCACTAACCTTGCTAAACTCTTCTGCTGTCGGTGCTACCATGATGCCAGACAGTGCCATCCTCCTGCGCGCGCCCATCAACACACATCCAACACCAAGACCCCATTGTGCTATGTCGCCGAGACCGCCTGCCATCAATGTTGAAGATGCAACACCGCTCCACCTATTGTTCCCTCCAGCCAACACCTGCTCCAAAACGATGCCCCCAAGAGGAAGCACCGTACCGAAGATGTCGTCATCATCCGATCTGGGAGACCCATATCTAAGGTTTTCTCCGGAACATCCCGAACGTGGTGACGCAACATGCAACGATGATGCTTTAACAAGGAAACCACGTCGGAGACGTCGCCATCGTCTGCCATGACCTAAGTCGGCACGGTTTTCACTAGAAGTCGCTGCACTCCGATCTCATCGCTGACTGGATCCGCACGCAACCTCTTGCCATGTAGATGTACGCCTCCAAGCGCCCCACATCAGTCCCATCACTTGTCGCCGGCCGGCCGAAGCCACGCCGCGACGGATCTTACAGGGACGCCGGATCCATGGCCGCCGCCGCCGCCCATCACACAGCAGGGAAGCCCACCGGATCTCCCAGCCAGCCATGGGGTCGCCGGCTACCACCGCACAAGGCCACCCCGCCCGAGCCACCCCAGCCGCCTCATGGGGAGCCGCCGCAACCCTCCTGCCCTAGCACCTTTCACGCCGGGTGCCGCCGCCACCGCGGCCAACGCCGGCGGCAGGAACCTGCCGGAGAAGAGGGCTGGCGGCGCTAGGGTTTGACGCCCCTGGCGTCGCCCTGGGGTGGCGACGCCGGGGGTACATACGTGATAATTAGAAGTATGTCATTATGATTTCCTGTGGCACCCAAGTAACTGGAATAATTAAGCCAAGGAAAATTCAAAGACAAAAGGGGTACTTTATCATGGCATGGGAGACCTGAGATGATCACCTGGCATGATAAGTACTGGTTTGGCAAGAAAAAGGGCTCTTTCCAGATTCAGACAGAGAAATGGTGGGACAACTTCAGGACACTTATTCACGAGGAGTCTGCAGCCTGTTCATTATTCAGTAGATTCTACACTATCTAGGAGACCAGGAAACTTTAGATTTGTGTTCACTTTTCACTTTCGAATCCATTTAGGACATACTCGCCCATTAGGTTCTTATTCGAAGTCACATCGACAACAAAAGTCTTTTCAAACATCAACAACAAATAATTGTAAGGTAACTGTACCACAGTTTCCTTTGTCCATCCAAATTGTGAAATCACTGATCTGGTAGCCTTAGACCTCTTATAGGGAATGAATGATTTGCGTGCGGATTTTGGAGGGCTTTTTATGTCTCCTGTGAAATTATTATGTTCCAAACAGGCCATCAGGCCTCGGTCCTTGGCATCCACACGAAGTTGTACGTGCCTACCTGGTTACTTACCTGCCGAGATACATCCACTGAGCCTCCCCAGCAATCGCCTCCAAACACTGCGCCATCAGGTTGCACGTCCAGAAATGAGGGTTTCCGCTTTCTACACATCATTTTCACAGAAGGAAGAAGTTGCAAAAGTTCAGGGTATTAATACACATCACAGATCACAAGTCACATGGCATGCAGAAAGGCAGCAGTTTGAGGTTCTCTTCGTGCGATGGAGCAATAGTTGTCCGGCTATTCCTACTGTATCCATCAACCCTAATTTTGGAAGAGACGTCTATAAACTGCTACCATAGCATGCTATATAGTTTTTTTTTGGTGAGACCCGATCAAAATCTTTTTGTTGAAATATTGATGCTAAGTTGAAACTTAACATTAGAACAGTGTCATCCAGCTCTGCTCTAGAGCTTAAGCTGCTTAACATAGTAGCAGGAAAATGTATTTTTTTAAGCCCGGAACTATAGAACAATTCTTCTACGGTAATTTTCATATAGTAAGTTCACTTGTTACTCGGGTGGTAATGGAAACATTGCGCCGTCAATTATGTTAACTAACCATGAAGCAGCACCTACTCTGCTCAGTTTTGAACTCTGTTTTAGCATCAGGACACTTGTAGACTTGTAGCACACAATCAAGAGGTTGTTCACAAGAGACTGCTCCAGTTGGGATCTGATGATCATTGATCGATTCGGTGTGGTACTACTGCGCATCAGGTCAAAAGGTGGCATGTTTTTATGTCACCTCTGGTGGTTCATGTATCGCCTCATCGGAATTTCTAACGAAGAATAATGTGCAGTAGGGGTATGTTCCCGCCTGTGCACAAGAATATTTGAAGTTCTTGGTAGAGCCTATCAACCTATAAAATATCTTCAGGGGTGCTCTCTGTTAACTATCCTAATTTGATGTTTGTGCAGGGGCTAGTCGATCTTTGCACAGCGCTTATGATCGAGTTAATCGGGGTAAAAGTGGCATGTGAACTGGTGTGCTATTCTCCATTTGATTCATTTCATTGGGTTCCTTTTCAAGTTCCTGGAGTTGATGATTACCTCCGGGAAGGGGAGGATGGCTAGAACAGGTTCCAAAAGACATTTTCTCTTGATGATAGTTTATCTTCCACTTCTTCTTCTTCTCCTATTCATTTTTTGTACGAAACTCTTCCCTTGTTCTTGAGTAGACAGTTCTGCACTTATATCCCCAATTGTTGGTAGTCCATAACACATAATTTATGCCAAACTAAACCATATTCTTTAAGATTTTGAAACAGGTGAAACATTACTGCGCTCCAAACTCATCAAGCAAAGAGCAGTTATGGCA